GGACGACCTTGCGCAGGAAGTGTACACGATTGGATTTAACCGCGAACTACTGTCTCCAACGGTCGCGGGGTTTGGCGCCGCGACGTTCCCGTGGGAATTCCAACAACGTGTAGATCTCACAATGCAGGAAGATAGGAAATCGAAGGCGTACTTGGATGACTTGCATGTCGGAACTGGTGCAGTTCCTGTCGATCGAAATGTAACTGAAGCCGACATTACAGACGACATGCGCATTGAGCACATTGAACATCTGCGTAAAGTAACACTACCAGCATTACGCGCGAAGAACTGGCTGATAAATCTTCCTAAGTGTCAACTAGTCGCGACCAGTGCGCCGCTTCTGGGCTACAGAGTAGGCCTAGGTGGCTGGAGTGTCACCCAGAAGAAGAAATCACTAGTGGAAGGCTTGCGTGAACCCGCCACTATCGAGGACGTCGTGTCGTGCCGTTGTCTGGTCAACTGGCTCGGAAAGCGAATTCCGTTTTTTGCACCGTTGTCCTTCCACTTGAATAAGTACTCCAGGAAATCCGCCAAGTTTGCGGATTACATCAAGGACAAGGAAGCGCAGGGTGCTGCTAAGTGGACTAGGAAGCTGCTATCGACGGTGTCGTTTAGACCTCCTACTGGTAGCGGTGCACTCAACTGCTATGTGGATGCTTCTGACTATGGCTGGGGATACATCCTAGTGGAAGAGTACGATGACTCCAAGGTAGAAGCTCGCATTTGTGACGTCGGTCATGGCACGTTTTCGGATTCGGAACTCTATTGGACAGTCACCGAAAAGGAGTCGTACGCGGCTAAGGCTGCAATCGAGGGACCGCGCGTTCTTGTTAACGGACGGAAGTGCAGCTTGCTCACGGATCATCAGGCTAACACCTTTCTAGTAGATCTTAAGAACAGACGAGTTTTGCGCAAACATGTTGCCTGGGCAATCCATTGCGACGAAATCGGTCCCAATTACGAGAAGCATTATCTTCCTGGTGATGTAAACGGGGCGGCAGATTTCCTTTCCAGATATCCTGCACAGGGTCGCGACGACCGACCGGATATTCTTGCACCGTTGTCTCCGGTACGACGAGCGATGCTACGGTTTTTCAAGATTTCCCTCACCGATGATGAGGCCGCCGAGCTAACCAAACTCATACCGAAAAGGGATGACAAGGTAGCAAAGAGAGGACTTTATGCACGACGCCGTGACATGGATGCTGAGAAAGGAGAAGAGACACAGTCTCAGAAGGGTAACATCACGGCGGCCGTCAACATGATTGCGGAGAATAGACGTGGAGAACTAGTAGTGCAGGACACGTTTCAAGTACTTCTTGAACATCATCGATGTGGGTTTATCGGTTGCAACGGGGAAGACGTTCTTTATCCGTCGACGCACAATCTTTTTCTACCAGGCACGGACGGTGACAACATGACTGCTGCGGTTAAGAGCTCACGCTCGCATCGCATTTCAGCACGGGACCGACTGCCGCGGTCGAAGCACAAGAGAGTAAGGGCGTATTTGTACTACAAGAACGACGGAAGTAACACATCGACGCACCATGTGAAGTACACTTCTGAAGTTAAGTCTACGAATGGACAGCCACGTGCCAGCGTGTACTTCTCGGGTCAGGCGTTGGGTGGGTTGCGCGCGCTACTCTATGCAGGACAGGCACTCAAGAATGTGCGGACTTTCAATGAGGAACGGGCCAACTTCCTTAAACTACTGCGGGAGGAGGTTGGTCGGACATCGGAGATCCACTGGTATGATGACGACTATGAACACTTGGATGCTGAATTCTTTCAGCTCATCGATGGAATCGATGCGGCGGATTGGATCACTAGCTCATCAAGCACATCGAATGATGCGATCAGTAAGCCGAGATCTGGAGCGCAACCACTCGTGAAAGCACCTTCTGCAGCAGCAGCTTCTTCGTCGGTCGAAAGTGGTTCGGCGTCACGAGGACGACAGGGTCAAGTAGAAGCACCTACGCGATCCGACGACGAAATCAAACCATGCGAGGATGAGATCGATTTGTTACCGGATGATCTGGCAGAAAAGCAGGGTACGGCGGATGATTCTGGCAAACAGAGTTGGTCTGTGAACCAAACCGCGCATGTACTGGAAGAGGTGCAGGAGCTTTTCGATTTGAGTCTGGAAGTGCTTCGAGGTGAACAGGTTGAGTACTTGAACAACGCCACACAACTGGAGAAGACGAATCATCTACGCGAAGAACAAACGGGTCTTCATTTTCGTCGTGTCTTTGATGAGAAACGCCTTACGTATCGCTATGTGCTATCGGTACCGCCGACCAGTTCACAGATGGCGAAAGTGCTTCTTTCGGCGCACAACGACATCACGCTAGGAGCACACAGAGGCGTAGATGCAACATACGATCTGCTCAAGAACGTGGTGTACTCGAAAGGATTGTCGAAAGCGGTGAGGAAGTTTGTAAAGAAGTGCAAAACGTGCAGGGTCACTAAGATCGGTCACCAGCCGGAAGCAGCAGGTTCGTACAGAACGGTGCCAGATCTTTTCCATGACATCCAAATCGATTTTGTGGGTCCGATCTCTCCGGAGAGTGAGGGCTTCAAGTACATTCTAACGATGTCGTGCTCACATTCCGGGTATTGTTTCTTCACTTCTACTACTGATGCTACGGCGGAATCTGCAGCGCGAGGACTACTTGACGAGGTCATCTTTAGTGTGGGCAGACCACGAGTCATCCGATCTGATCGTGGCACTCACTTCACAGCCGAGATCACTCAGGCGCTTGCTAGGTTGACCGGATCGAAATGGCGTTTGGCAAGTGCTTATAACCCTAGGACGCAGGGCATGACGGAGCGGTCGCATCGCACAGCGTGGCAGACTATCAGGTCCTATCTGCAGACCTTGTTTGTTGACCAAGGGCGAGCGAAGTTCAGTAAGTGGTCACAGCTTGTTAAACCCGCTCAGTGGGCGATTCGATCCGCACCGCGGTTGCAGCTAGGGATGATCTCTCCTTTCGAGTATGTTACTGGGAGAAGACCAGTCGATTTTTCTGTAGTAGATACTGCAGCACACACGTCGGTCGAAAAGATCATGATGGATCGTCTTCATCGGATGCAACAAGTCTACAACCGCGTCAAGAATGAATTGACGGAACAAGCTGAACAGAATAGCAAGGATGTCGTCCGATGGGCGCCAAAAACTCGATGTCTGGTACGTTTAGCACCAAATGAACAGATCAAAGAGGTGCGCCAGAATTTGCAGCCTCCTTACGAATTTGCGACTTTGTTAGAAGATTACGGTGATGCTGCATTGATTGAGTTTGATGGTACGAAAGAGACGAAAAAGATCAATAAGCGTCGCTTGATCAAGGTTGAAACTCTTCTTCAGTAAATTGCAGCTCCTAAAGAAAACGAGGTTAGGATGAACCTTTGAGGAATTGGAATGATGGTTCACGGAGTGGGAGGATCATTTTGGTCAATTGATGAAGTGTTTGGTACTACGAAGAATTATAAATAAGGTTGTTTCCGAAGTGTGAAGATGAAGAATCATGTGGATCGCAGTATATTGGGAAAGTTCATATCATAAGTTTGGATGTTGCTAGTTCTACTTTTGCGTTCGGACGATAGAGTCATAGGCGTCATAAAACATGAATCATGAAGTTAAGTTTTGTTTATCCCAGAAATCACAGGCTGAGAGAGGGGCACGAGTATAGAGACATAAACGCAGGGTTGTTTACATTGGGAGGATAGAAACAGGTAGTCATGGTTTCTTTGGAAAAGGATTTGTACAAGGTATCGCGGTTGTTTCTTACGCTTGAGGAGATTGATCGGCTTCTGTTTGAACATCCCATTGATGAACCAGATGCGTTAGGTTCTGCTACTAGTTTTAACGAAAGCGGCGAGTTTTGTTTACTGGTTAACGGGGATCCACTGCCTTTTGTGATGTCCATAACAGATGAACCATTGGGAATCATACCGGGCAAGCATATTTTGAAAATCATAGAGCATATGCATGAGAAGTTGGGTACGGAATATTTTATTTTAGAGGTTAAATTTATGAAGGTAACTGAGCACGAAGTAGAACCGGAACGGGCGCGAGTTCACTATGAGCATAGGCATAATATTGTGGTAGTTTAATCGACGGCTAACATAGGTGGACTATCTAATTGTTGTCGTGTTGTATTCAATAGAATTGAGGTGTTACATTCATCATGCCGTTTCAGCCGAATAGTAGTGCATTTGAACTTATTTCTGTTAGGATCAGTCCTATTCTCTTTGCTGAATACGCTAACTCTCGCGGAGGGCTGGTAGTCGATCCTGTTAACGGGCAGAAGGACAAGTGGCAAGTAAAAGGGAAAAGGGTGCATTATCGGAATAGTGTTAATGGCACTATCTTGGTCAGATCGGATAAATTGATGTATGATGTTTGTTTGTATTTTTTGTCAGAGAGAATTATTCCTCTTGCGAGCCTGGTTGTACATTTGAGGTGCCAGAATACCTTACGAAGACATAGGAGCATCACAATAAAGCGAAGTCATTTAAAAAACATATCTATGAGACAGTGGTCTTTCTTTTTCTTTGATGATTAAGGAGTAGATCAGAATGTCGGCAAACGCACCAACATCCGCTGGCGTGCCTTACAGCGTCAGCACATTTCCCGGTTATCTTCAGTCTGATGTGGCTACTAAGTTGTACCTCAAATTTCGTGTAAACTTTGAAGAGGAGGTGATTAAGTTGTTGAAGGAAAACATTGATGAGCTACAAATTGGAGCACACGGGCATACGCCGTCTCGGGGTGAAGCGAGCATCTGGGTCTTGACTGATCAGGTGATGCTGGCTCTCAGGCGTCGTGATAAGTGCGATTTTCTCAACGATTCGGAACTGCGGGATGTATTATTGAGTTCTATCATTTCCTTAGGGGAGAAAAAGCGACTGCAAGTGTATTATTTGCGTGTGGGGCAAGTTACTCACCGCACTAGACCTATCAGTTTTTGTCTAATTAAAGTGTTACCGAAAGGAGAGGCCACCAGCTCTTCTTCGCTTCATGAATGAACAACAGCAAGCAGGTATGCATACCAGGCAAGGGGTCGCTACCGGTTATTGTTGATACGATAGTCAGTTGATGGGAGGATTAGTAGGCGTTACGAAGAAGGTTTTATGAAGCATATAGATAGTAATTTTTCGGATAGGTTGCTTGTGGAAAGTATAGATAAGGTAAGACTCGTTGAGCAAAGATTATTAGACTCGGGATGTTTTAGACACGGATTGACATTTATCGCTCGTTGATCTCTTGGGGTTTCTGATGTGCTAGTTGCTTTTCGATGGTCTGCTCATCTTCGGGTTATGGGTCTTTCCTTGGTTGGTTAAACATAAGTGGTAATTGAGCTACAGCACACTTTCACCATGGTGCACTGTCTTAAGTTTGTTAGTTTCTTGGACGGTTTCGTTACTCTTTTCACCTTTGGTAATGTAAGTCAGTCTTTGTTTGCAGTCGTTAAGGGAGGATGTGAGGACGTTGAAGGCCTATGGGAGCATTTTCAGGGAAGGAGACCAAGTCAAGTGTCCAGTTTCGTTCACGGTTAACTTAGTCACTGTGATTAACGACTGCCAGGGAGGATGGTTGTTGTATGACAGATAACTAAGTAAGGAGAGTTACTAAGTTGAAGTGGCAGTCGTTATCGCAAACCGTGAAACTCAAACTGTGGCCTTGACACGAGAGGAAGAGAGTATCGTTTGTCGACTCTCAAACAGGTCTGAAAGATGCTTGGACATGTACTAATGATCACTGAAAGACAATGAGCCTGTTGAGCTCCACTCATCACCTTTGACATCTTCCAAACCTTAGGTTTTAGGTTTTAAGGACTAGAAGACTAACAGCTGAAGATAAGTGCTAGAGCACAGACTATGTGTAAGTGCAAG